GCGGGGAGCCTGCTTCTCCCTCTCCATCTCCCTCTGCCTTTTCCCCTGCTTGCGCTCCGTCAAATAGGTAAATAAATAAAATCTTTAAAAAAAAGGGAGGAGGAATAGCAAATATGAGGTTGCTGTGGTGGGAAGATGTCTGACGTATTCTAGGAATATCGCTGAGCCAGGATCCTTAGAGGGAAATGAGCACTATGAGATCAGAGGAGTAGCTGGGGAACAAGTTATGTGGGCCCTTGAAACTCATGACCAGAACTTTCAGTTTTGTTCTGAGGGTGAAGGAGAGTCATTGGAGTGTTTGTGATTTAATGTGATTTCTATTTTAAAAGGAAAATAGAAAGGAAGTAAGGGTGGAGCAGGGAGATCAGTCGGGAGACTACTACAGTAATCCAGGTAGAAGGTGGTAGCTGCCTGGGCCGTGGTGGTGGCATTGGAGCTGGGGGGATCTGGGGTATATGCTGAAGATAGAAAATACGGGATTTGGCCAGGGACTGGTTGTAGAGTGTGAGAGAAAGAAAGTCAAGGATAACAACAAAGATTTTTGACCTGGGCAACTGTACAAATGACCTTTCCATTTACTGAGATGGAAAGACAGGGCAGAATGATGAGATGGGAAGAAAAATTGAGTTCTTTTTTTTTTTTTTTTTTTAAAAACTGAGTTCTTGATCTATTAAGTTTGAGAGACCTGTTGGATATCCAAGTGCAATAGTGATTAGATACCTGGAGTCAGGATTGGAGGTATGCATTTGAGAATCATTAGTGTATTTAAAGCTATAGGACAGGATAGGATTATCTGGAGGGTAGGATTGTGAGTGTAGATAGGAAAGATGCCCAAGGACTGAGTTTTGAGGATTCAATATCTAGAGGCTGAGAAGAAGAGGAGGAACCAGCAAAAGAGACCGAGAAGGACTGATGTAGAAGGAAAACCAGAAGAGTATGGGTACTAGAAGTCAGGAGTACAAAGTGTTTCATAGAGGGTATGATCAACTGAATTAAATTCTTCTGAGAGAGAGTGAGGAAGATGAAGACTGAGAAATGATCATTGGATTTGGTAACATGAAAGCTACTGATATTCTTGACAAAAGCTACTTGATAGAATGGTTGGTATGAAAGCATTGCAGTGGGGACACAAGGGAATAGTGGGCCTAAAAGATAAGAATAGAGATGAGTTTAGAGCTGTGCTGTCCAATAATGTACCCAGTAGCCACATAAGACTGCTGTGAATTAAGACACGCTATAAGTATAAAATATATACCAGATTTTAAAGATTCAGTACAAAAAAGAATGTAAAGCATCTCATTAATAATTTTTATAATGAGTACATGTTGAAATAACATTTTAGATATAATAGATTAAATATATTAAATTTGCTTCCTTTTTTTTAAAGATTTTATTTATTTATTTATTTATTTAGAGAGAGCAAGAGCACAAGAGCAGGGAGAGGGAGAAGCAGACCCCTTGCAGAGTAGGGAACCTGACTTGGGGCCTGATCCCAGGATACTGGGATTATGACCTGAGCCAAAGGCAGACACTTAACTGACTGAGCCACCCAGGCAGGCGCCCCTAAATTTACTTATTCCTGCTTACTTTCTTTTTCTTTTTGCAATATAACCTAGTGATTCAGCATGACATTTGGTCTTAAACATCTGTAAAATGGGTTTCATACTTTTTTTTTTAACAAGTTTTACAATGAGATTAAGATAATATCAATAAAATGCTCATTAGGGTGTCTGGCATGTAGTAATTGGTCAATAAATATAGCAGTTATTCTTATTTTGTTTTCATCATTAAATCTATTTACTTTTTTAATGTAACTACTGAAAAATTTTAATATGAGGTTTACATTGTTTTTCTATTGGACATTGCTGATTTAAACAACTCTTTGGAAGAATTTTGTGGTTTTTTTTTTTTTTTAAAGATTTTATTTATTTATTTGACAGAGACACAAGAGGGAACACAAGCAGGGGGAGTGGGAGAGGGAGAGGGAGAAGCAGGCTTCCCGTGGAGCAGGGAGCCCAATGTGGGGCTCAATCCCAGCACCCTGGGATCTTGACCTGAGCCGAAGGCAGACGCTTAACGACTGAGCCACCCAGGCGCCCCTGGAAGAATTTTTTTTTTTTTTTAAAGATTTTATTTATTTATTTGAGAGAGAGAGAATGAGAGAGAACACATGAGAGGGGATAGGGTCAGAGGGCAAAGCAGACTCCCTGCCTAGCAGGGAGCCCGATGCGGGACTCGATCCAGGGACTCCAGGATCATGACCTGAGCCGAAGGCAGTCGCTTAACCAACTGAGCCACCCAGGCGCCCTGGAAGAATTTTGTTTTTAAGAGGAGTAGAGAAATAGGACAATAACTACAGTGAGCTTATGGAAGGGAATTTATCTGTCTATTTATAAGATGAAAGATATTACATCAGTTTGTATACTGATAGAAATAATTTAGGAAAGTCAGAAAATACTGATAATACAAGAGAGATATCTGCTATTTCCCTGATAATTACAAGGGAGAGAGGTGACAATGTCTTTGTGTGGACAAGTGGAGGGAATGGCCATAGATAGGAGCCTAGAGTTTCATGCATAGTAACAGAGGGAAGACAGAATATATGAATATAGATACAGTTCAGCAAGGACCTGTGGTGAGCAAGATGAGGAAGTTCAAAGTGGGAACAGGGAAGGAATTGGTGGTATTTTGAGAGAGAGGCAGAATCTATGAAATAGTCATGGGAGAACGGGAAAGTGGATTTATTAGGGAAGTGTAGTGGTGCTTTTGTGGAATCTCCGGTCATATCCTAGAAGTACATTGGATCAACGTGTTTATCAGTTAGGGTTCTGGCAAGAAACTCAAAAGGGAACTGTTTCCAAGTTATGAATCAGTATATAGAGAACTGTAAAGGATAGTGCTATACCCTGGGACTTATAATAGTAAAACTTAGACCTGAACCCAGGGATAGAGAGATCTGAGTGGGGAGGGCCTCTGACAGGCATTGTGACCTATGATCGAAGGACAGACACCACACAGGGTAGTGCTGCAAGGAGGGTGCCAGGGGAGTAAATATTGTGCTTCACTTGCCTCCCTCCCATCTCCTGCATGTGGCTGAACCCAACTGAAAATGGGGTCAGGTAAGGGAGTCTATTAATGCAGTCAATAGAGGTCAGCGTCCCAGGACACAGAGAAGTGTAGAGGGGCACAAGGGAGTTATATAACAGTATGTAGCTGTGTGAGGTTTTTTTTCTTTAGCCACATTCATCCGTATTTCTGCTATGTAGAATAACCATATTTGTCTTTTTTTTTTTTTCAATTTGACAAACAGCTATATACTTTTTTTTTTTTTGATTTTTTTAATTTATTATTTGAGAGAGAGAGACAGCGAGAGAGGGAACACAAGCAGGGGGTGTGGGAGAGGGAGAAGCAGGCCTCCCATGGAGCAGGGAGCCCGATGTGGGACTCGATCCCAGGACCC